AAGAGTTCCCATGTGCTTAGAAAGGAGTCTGAATATATGCAGTGTAAAAAAAAAATAAGCCTGATACAAACAATGTCAACTGTTCCATCAGTACCATCTAAGGACTGGGAGCTGTAGGTGCAACAATATGTAAAATACAGCTTGTGAGAGATTGCCTTTATTAACTGTCATCATCCTCAGAATATATGTTCAAATAAACGTTGTGTAATAACTAAATTTGAGATTAATAGGCCCCTTAAGAAACAGCGAAGTCATTCAGAGTAGTCAGTGAAAAATAGTCTGTGAGCCTGTGCCGTGCACACATTGTCCTGCTCACATGCTCTCTCCGTGTCTGTGAGCCTGTGCCGTGCACACATTGTCCTGCTCACATGCTCTCTCCGTGTCTGTGAGCCTGTGCACACATTGTCCTGCTCACATGCTCTCTCCGTGTCTGTGAGCCTGTGCACACATTGTCCTGCTCGCGTGCTCTCTCCGTGTCTGTGAGCCTGTGCACACATTGTCCTGCTCGCACGCTCTCTCCGTGTCTGTGAGCCTGTGCCATGCACACATTGTCCTGCTCACGTGCTCTCTCCGTGTCTGTGCCGTGCACACATTGTCCTGCTCACGTGCTCTCTCTGTGTCTGTGAGCCTGTGCCGTGCACACATTGTCCCGCTTGCATGCTCTCTCCGTGTCTGTGAGCCTGTGCCGTGCACACATTGTCCTGCTCACGTGCTCTCTCCGTGTCTGTGCCGTGCACACATTGTCCTGCTCACATGCTCTCTCCGTGTCTGTGAGCCTGTGCCGTGCACACATTGTCCTGCTCACACGCTCTCTCCGTGTCTGTGAGCCTGTGCACACATTGTCCTGCTCGCACGCTCTCTCCGTGTCTGTGAGCCTGTGCCGTGCACACATTGTCCCGCTCGCATGCTCTCTCCCGTGTCACTGCCATTTGTCACTGTCGGCCAACTCCGCTCTCATTAAAACACGCAAGCACCAAAGCAGCTTCATTTTCTTAAGAGGAGAGGACACCTGATTCAATTTAGGGCGCAGAAACAGGAACTTGCATATTTTCCATGCCTGACTTGAAAAGAATAGTTTTAAACAGGGATGGTAACTCTGTTCACCTCAGGTTAAAGGATATGCAAGAAAAAAAAAATTCCCCCACCATGGTAGCAAGATAGACCTGCAGAAATTAGAAAGAATTATAGCTTCCTCCTGGAGCAGCAGTTTGATGACAGACAGTTCCTCTCAAGTAGGAAGTATGTCGGCATTTATAAAAATATGTAACTGCGCTCCCTCCAGCAGTAGGCTCGACAAAGAATTAAAGTGTTCCAAACTGCCTCCTTCAGTTGGTAAATGCTTCGTGGCCATGCTAGCCCTTTCTTCTTCATGTGATAATTCATTTAAGAATATTGAGTGTAAGGTCTTCTGTCCGGACTGGGGAGGAAGTTACTTCACCTTACCTCATGGGCTGTTTGTACAGGCTGAATATCTAGGTGAACAGGCAAACATTCCACCACCTTGCTTAAGAATAAACTTTGTATTCTAATTTTTTTTTTGATGTTCGGATAAATCATCATAGAGTTTTAGGATGCCATATATCTAAATATCATAAATCATCAACAGTGGTCTGTTAGGCTGGTTGCTCAAGAATGGGCATTTTGATTTTTATTTTTGTCCTTTTATAAACATTGTTTGTTGTGCGTGTATGTGTGCACACACACATGCGAACACACATGGGCACGCTTTGGTGTGTAAGTGAGGAAGTCAGAGGACGACTTGTGGGAGTTGGTTCTCTCCTTGCACACTGTGGGTCCAGGGAGCAAACGCAGGCTGCCAGCCTGCAACAAGTGTGTCTGCTTGCTGAGTAGCCTGCTCCCCTGTGTCTCTAAATCCTCACAGACTAGCAAGGCCACCTTATTAACCCCGTGGGGCAGGGGGGGAGAGGTCTCGGTTTGGCTGATCTACTATTGGGTCACAGGTTATACACATAGAAGGTTTCTAGAGGAATTTTGGATCAGGAAGGGAAGAACCATTACGGGGAGCCAATGGTCAGGCTTTGGGGATCCAGAGGACCTAGATGGTGAGAGACAGGAACCCATATTCCAGTAATGTTTGCTGAAGAAAATCCATCCAGAGCATTTTGCAACTTCTTCAGACCTTCTGCAGTGTGGTTAAGCTTTCTGTTTGCTTTGCCGCTTCCTTTACTCATTTTTTTAAAAAAAAAAATCCAGTGGTTTTTTTTTTTTTTTTTTTTTTTAAACTGTCTGAGAAGAGCAAAACCCAGGCTAGTTGAGAGTCTGTCTGGTCAGCCTATGACCACATTGAGGAGTGGTGGGTGGGCAAACACTGGTCACATCCTGCTTTTTCCTGCTCCAGGATGCAACAGCCAGAGAAGTCATGCAGAGGGGAGAAGGCTGGGCTCAGAAGGCTCTGGTTCCAGCCACAGGCTCTTCTCCTTTGTGAGGGACTATAGACACCTTTTTCCCTTTTATGTTGTCTTTAGATGGCAGTAGGGAGCTGCTTTGGCTGAGGACTACAGACATACACCTGCTTGTCTGTCTCCTAGGGCATTGAAGGGGTGGCTGGCCTTGTGTTACTGGTGGCTCTTCCGTAGGTGCCATCTTTTGGCATTCCACTCTGCTTCATGCCCTCCTTGGCAGCCAGAACCTGGGCTTCTTCCAACATGGACACGCCTACAGCATCAGCTCCCTGGCTTCACCACTCTGGCTTGGCCTGACTCCTGTGTGGCTAGAGTCAGTTTCATCCCGGTTTACTAAATATTTAGAGTACTGTGTTCCAGTCCCTTCTCTGGATGGTGTGGATGTAAGTTTTTACTGGCTACTTGGAGGTGTGGTCCGCAAGCTGATTTGCTAGGATAGCCGAGGGTTGCTTAAGGTCCTCTCCCTTCCTTGAGGGAGGAGTTATTTTAGATCAGGGAGCAAAGATGTAAGAAATAGCATGATGTCATGAATTTGAGGAAGTGGGGAGTAGTTTAATGAGGCAGGGAAGGAACGGAGAGTGCCGTCTAGAGAGTGCCGGCTAGAGAGTGCCGGCTAGAGAAGGCCTTGCAGACTGTGTGAAGGGAAGGGCAGCCCTCCTTACATCAGAAAACAGCCCCCAAAACTCTTGAAATCCTAACTTCCTCATGTACTGCTGCTGTAGAATTGAGCCTAAGCTTGTGGGAATTGGTTCTCTCCTTGCACACTGTGGGTTCAGGGTATCTAACTTCATCTGGTCTTTGGAGTACCAGAGCCCTAAATCAATCAGTTCACAAAAGGTGTTGATTTCCCACCCAAGTGGATGACATAGCAGAGAATTCAGATCTTCCCACAGTCAGAAACTGCCAAGGAGGTGGCTGGGGCATCTCGTCGTGACACCGCTCTCTCAGCCAGTCCACATGAAATACTACTCATGTTTGTATCACGGAGGTGATCAAGAGTGGCTGGGTTGGAGGGTTTGGGTACTTTCTCAACTCTGATTTGTGAGTTACACTTGTAGTGACGCCATGTTTCTGTAAGTGCTGGGCGGCTCACTTGCTATCTGGTGTAAGGTTAGGAAAAGAGTCTGAAAATGACGAGGAAGGAAGAACTCTGGCGGAAAGCCCTAACTGCTTTCTTTGAAAAAAGCTCCATCTATCTGGAGCATAAAATGCAGCTTGCGCTCACAGATTTTTGGGAAATCTGTACACGTGTGTGTGAGGATGCCAATGCACCCCGTTGTTCTGACCACAACCCACGTGTATCCCCTTTAGTTTTCTCTGTGTGTAGAACTTTCCTGGAATTGCCCATAGTTGAGTTCTAGGGAGATGCCAAAAATAATGTCGCTGTAGTTTATAACTGTCATTTATAATATTTTATGTGGCTGAATCTTTTTATTCCTCATCGTCTCCCCCAGTACAGCACAGAACGCCATATGCCTCTGTCTCTGTCAAAAAGCAGAGGTTTCCCTGGCCTGTGATTGTTGCCTGTGTTCATGCCACAGAAGAGCTGGGGTCCAGTGCCATCTTTTATTGATAGGACTAGCAAAGGAGATATCTAATGAAATTATCAAAGCTTTGAATTAATTATGAAGCGGCATAAGAAAGCCAAGCTCTCTGGAGCCAGCGATCTCATTACCCATGCACTCTCATTGTGTCCTCTTCTGGAGCAGAGCTCTTTCCACTACCGCCTCGCCCTGCTTTGGACTTAAGTCAAACTTCCTAAACCGATGCCCTCTTTTCTACACTGCGGCCCGGAATGTTCCTAACGACTAACTGACACTGCTCTGAACTTTCTGGGCATTTAAATAGGTTTTTTTCAACATGCTTTTGTTTTTTTCTCCGCCCCCCCCCCCCCGGTTCCATTTTCTTTCATCAAATGTACAAGTTTTTTCCCCATTTTTGAGTAATGTGAAAAGCCGCCAGGATTCTGGCGTATAGCTTCATGGAACACAGGAACTGACTTAGCTGAGGGGTGGATAGCCTCTGCTGTGTCCTCAAGGATGCCTTGGTAAGCAGAATCAATCCTTTTTTCTTTAATTTTGGGTACTAATGGCACATTTTCTTGCTTGTTTCTAACCAATGAATGGTTAGCATGACAATAGTTTTCCTGGTCTCAACTGTCCTGCCCTTGGTGCTGAAGTGCAGGGCAACAGCCCTCACTTCATGGTGGTAGTTCATAGGTAGGGACGCATTATTGTGTGGAGATCAACCTCTGGTGTTCCTAGGCAGCAAAGTCAACAATAACCACGCTTTGATTTACTGTCGGGGATTGTTCTTTTGGGCCATACAGTTTTGAAGCCTCTCTTGACGAGCCTTTTCCTGCCTGCTTCTGAGCCCCACCATGGATGTGTTCCTAAGCTGCTGCCTTCTGTCTTAGTAAACTACAGGCCACTGGTATTCGTGAGAGCAGTGACTGACTTTACTCTGTAGGGTCAGTGCTGAGATTTGGAACGGTGGGGAAAGGGGGACCGATCATCTTTGCTTGTCCTGTTGCTGTTTACTTTCAATGAGTTTCTCTCCCATTTATTCTCTTCTTAGGCGGCTGCGATATTTAATTCAGCATTTGGGAGTTTTCTGGTGAGTACACGTGGTTTAACTTTGCCTATTTTATTTTTTCTTAAGAGATTGTTTTGCACAAATGATTTAGAGCTGAACTTCTTTTACTCTTTGGTGAAATATTAAAGTTTTGGATCTTTGCACGTTCCCTTAATTATACCCTAGGAAAATAGTAAAAACACGTGAATATTCTCTTGCAATATATTTTGGAGACTTGGGTTTAATAGTCCGTTAATGGATTCAAGGAATCAATTAAAATGCTATGTGCCTCCTTATAGAGGTTATGTCAATATATTGATCACTTAATGAGGTCTTTTAGATGATTATTATTTTGTGTCATGGGACAGAGGATTTTGAAAAGGAAACATGACCCAGCTGGTCAGAAAGGGAATGCTAATTTATGATTGACACGTCATTTATTTTCTACATTTTCTTGTCAAAGAAGCTACCATGTACAGTCTTGGGTATGTCTGAGAAATCTTTGTGGAACACTAACAAAAAGAGTGACATGAGAATATAGTTCATGAATAAGTTGCAAGAAAATATAGTATTTTTAGAGATGTAAATATAAATTATAAATAAAATGATTCAAACCCAGTTCCACCACTGTAAGCAGAGCCTCTGTAATTAGGAAGCTCTTCCTTTAACGTTTAGATAATTATCTTAAATTAGATTATCATAATACTTGATTTGTGTTATAAAAGAATGGAGATAGAAACAGTTTCCTATACTTAATAGTTATGCTTATACTTTCGAACTTGCTAAACTCAGGAAAATAAATTAGAATATTTGCTTTAGGTGCAGAGCTCACTTACAGACCTGTAATGTAGTGACTTACTCATGACTGGAATAAAATCAGTGGAATATAAACTGGCTTATGAATCTAGGTGGAACACCCCTATGTGTGCTTAGGATATTCTGTGTGTCACTTGTGTCTGCATTGTATGCATAGTTCAAGCTTTAAAAGACATTGCTAACCCAGTGTTAATTGCCAAAATGCTACATGGTTTTTGAAGTCATTGTCTTCTAGATGATACCGATTCTGTGAAACACAGTGCTGAAGTATGTCCACTCTTACAGATACTGTGCTTTGGGTTTTGTTACTGTTGTTGTTTGTTTGTATTTTGATATCATATTTTTATTGGATTTAGAAACAAAGTCTATTTAGAAATAACCTCTTGGTCAGGCATAGTAGCTACTTCTATAAGCTTAGCTCTGGGGAGGCTGAGGCAGTAGGATTGCCACAAGTTTAAGGACACCTTCAGCCACATGAGACTCAAATTCAAAGAGAGAGAGAGACAGGTAGAGATAGAGACAAACAGAGACAGAGACACAGAATGTGCGCACTGATTTTTAAGACTACTTAGTTTAGACTTAGTAATATCTCATTAAGCTACTGTTTTCATTTCTTTCTCTACATTGTCACATTGTTTAACAGAGTAGTATGTGTAAAATATAAATTTTCTGGAAGCCAGTTTTGGTGAGGTTTGAAATCATACACATCCACTATGACGCATGGCTTTGTAACTTGGGTTGTTCACTCGTGAAAATGCTCATGATAATTGAGAAGATGCAATGGGGAAATTATGGAAGTGGCTGAAGCAAAACCCTCTGGCCCTTCACTGAAGAGAGTGCTTGCTCCAGTGAAGTTACATATGACTCTACCCTTCTTTAACATAATTACAGCGAGGTTGATGAAATACATGTAGGTCTACCTAAATATGATGTGATGACCTGGCCTCTCAGGAGACAGAACTCCTGTCTTTCTGCTCTGCCATCCACAGCATGTGGCAGCTGCTGTAGTTTCTTCCTTCTCTCCATCTCTGTCTCTGTCTCTCTGTCTCTCTCTCTCTCTCTCTCTCTCTCTCTCTCTCACACACACACACACACACACACACACACACACACACACAGTAGCATTGCTGGAATCCCAATACCACCCTTTCACTAATACCTTGTTACAGAAATTTAGCCACACAGTCACATCCAATCAGCGAAACATGGCAGTTTGCCATGACTTCAGTCACTGAAACGACTGTTCCATACAGGGGCCCGTGTGTATTTTCTGCCTATATGGAATGTTCAAAAGTATGCACATGTTTGAAGAAAGAAGTTACATTAGTGGAATGATAGGAGAAGTTGGCCCTTGAGTTAGATTGTAAAGACTCGCTGTACAGAGGGGAAATTCTGAATTATAAATCATTCATATGGAATGGTGTTGCTAGTGTTTGGGGATTTTCTTTATGAAGGAATTTTGTGCTTACAAGTGGTAGTGGCCATCCAACTTGAAGCAGGGTGAGTTTGAATTCTCTCTGACTGAATATGAACTGAACCAGATACCTGCCCTGTAATGTACATAATGTTGAACCAATCATATCTTCTGTCTATGGAAACATGTTGACAGTGCATAGAAAATGCTTGTATGAGGTGCTGGAAACATCTAGGTGTTGGTCCAGTCTCTTGATTTTAGATGTTTTTGTATTGACTGTTGAAAACCACCAGATTAAGAATTTGTCTCTGCCAGGTGCTCTAAGCTCTAAGAGTCAAGGAGCTGTTCTCTTGTTTTGAGTAATCATTCCTGTCTTTGTGCCTGTGTGTACTATCTGTGTGCGTGTGTCTGTGCGTGTGTGTCTGCACATGCACACATGCATATATTATGAGTGACCATTCCTTGTGTATGTGTGTGCTCATATGCATATGTGTATACAAAAAAAATAATCACTTATAACCAGACAATATGTATGTTAGAATCTGTATATATTTAATATTATGTTCTTTAGTAGAGAACATGTATTATAATATTCTATATAAGCATTCTAGTATATATTATAATCTGATATATTAATATTTATTTCAGGTTAATTCCAATTACCTTAAACCTTTGAAAGACTTTTATTAGAAGACATTTTGGAAAAAGACTTAAGGGTATTTTTGTTGATTTTTTTTTCAGGCATTTGGGTATAACAAATAAAATATGGTACATATTTATAGCTAGTTTAATAATGTCCTGGGTCTAATTAAAACACAGTGATTTTAAGAACTAATTGTTATATAAAACTTTTTAAATAGAGCTATACTGGTAATAACTAATGATAGATGAATTCAATTTATATAAATTTCAGACCAAGAGATTGTTTTTGTTTTGAAATTGTGCCATAGAGGATTGCTTTAAGTTAAGAAGTTAATACCCCACTCCTCCGCTGCTCATTTTACCCGTTCAGCTTATTGTTATTGTGGACTATAGTCAGTGGCTTGAGCCTTCCTTCTCAGTGAGGATAGAATTCGAATAGAATTTGGTAGCACTGTGTGCTCTGGCTAACTAAGGTGATATCTAAATGCATATGTTTGTGTATCCCACATAATACGTATGTCTATGTTTCCCATGTAATGCCTTTGTCTGTGCATGCCATGTAAAACCTACACATGCCAAGAGCAGTACCTTACATGTTACATTTTCATCAGAAGGAGGTGTGTTTGTTTTTACATTTTGAAAAAATTTTTGTAAAGATTTATTCAATCTCCTTTTATGTGTGTGAGTATTTGACTACATGTAGTGTGCGTGTGCCTAGTGCTTGCAGAGGCCAGAAGAGGTGTCAGCAAGAACAGAGAAGAATCTCACATGTTAATGAAGGCTTGTAATACTTCCTCCCTTCTCCCTTTCCCCCCTTCTCCTCCAGCACCCAGTCTCTCCCTCTCCTTCCCTTTTCTTCCTCCTCTCACTGTCCTCCCTTTCCTCTCCCCTCTCCCTCTGCACAAGATCTGACCCAAACTCATGACCCTCTCGCCTAAGTCTAGGGTATGTTTAGTTCATGGATATGAAGGAAGGAGATCATTTTGCTCAGTATTAACAATGATGTTGATTTTTCAAGAAAATTATTTATTTATTTATTTTATGTATGAATACTCTAACTGCATGTATACCTATGCCAGAAGAGGACATCTGATCCCACTGTAGGTGGTTGTGTGCCACCCCATGTGGTTGCTGGGAATTGAGCTCAGACCTCTGGAAGAGCAGCCAGTGCTCTTAACCACTGAGCCAGCTCTCCAGCCCTGAGGATGTTGCTTTTAACTAATCCAGATTATCTGGAATCTTGGTTTACCCTTCAAAGTTCAGGACTTGATTTTCATTGGTCTTCAGCAACCACGCACCTTCATTTTCATGGGGAGTTCAGTGCCGTCCTACACGGCACCATTTCAAACTGGTTGGTCTTTGCAGCAAGGAAGTCACAAGCTCCCTGCAGATGCTCTTCTTACAGAGGCAGCATCACCCTAAGGCTAGAGCGCAGACAATTGACTGGCTTTCCTTTCTTAAATACTGTTGAGTGGGGGTTGGGGAGTTAGCCTAGTCAGTACCCTGAACCTTACAAGGGGAGGCTCAGCTGGTCCTCAGCACTCCTCTGAAACACCAGGGGTTGTGCTCCCTGCTCACAGCCCCAGCCTGGGGAGTCAGACACAGGTGCAGGGGGCTTGCTGGCCATCCAGCCTCCTTCCCTTCTATTTGAGTTCCAGTCTAGGGAGAGCCCTATCTCAACAAATAATGTGGAGTCCAGCTTACACAAGTAACAACAACGACAGAAGAATACTGTTAATTCATTTAATAAGGTAACACAAAAGGCAAACCACAACTCTCACCTAAGGGGAATAAAATATTATTTTGAGGCCAAATGTGAGTGACCGTGGATCCCATATTTCCACAGATTGCATATTTCAACATGGATCTAGTTTTGTGAAGCTTTTATAGAAATAGAACAAAAGAACAGAGAATGTCATACAAAGACACCTCTTAAACACTAGGTGGGCAGGGGTAAAGCAAATGGGATTCTCTGCCTTAGGCCTTGGATGCAATTTGATATCATCTTAGCATCTTTGTGGGAGCCAGGTTTCTGTACATTCCAAAGGATTTACCTGATTAATTGTCTCAAAGATAGTAGCTCACCCACAAGGAGGGCAATAAAGGACTATTAAGAGGGCTAAAGATGGCCCAAGATAATTTGGCTTTGGAGGAGTGACATTCCAGGATA